TTCAGGTTGTGGGGGCTTGCTGGCTTGGGGTGTTAGATTCTGGCTGGCGAGATTCTGTGGTGAGGTGGAAGCTAATAAACGCAACAGAACTGTATCTGCGCTGTCTTGGGGAGTTCTTTGGGCTGTACCTGACATCAATCTCTCCAAGAACTCCCTGTTCCCACAACACCGTGAATTCTTTAGGGTGGTGCCAGTCTCATCTTCTTAAACTTCTCATGCTCCTGTTGAGGGCTAAGGGAATGCTTATCTCCTCAAATGCAGCCTTCATCCAACCATTCCTTCACAGCCCTTCACTGAACAAGTGAAGCTGTTGAGGTTTTATCTCAGTGCCTAGAGGCTGTGAGGGTTTGGATGGGGGAGAACAGGCTTGGACTCAACCCTTCCAAGCCTGAGTGGCTGTGGGTTTGGGGTCCTGAGATCCTGATACTGGAGATTTTCCATACCTGGCTCTAGATAGGGTGGCACTTCCCTGCTTAGACTTATTGTGCAACCTGGGTTTTTTCCTGAACTCATAACTCCTACTTGAGGAGCAGATGGCAACTGTGGCCAGGAGAGCCTTTGCACAACTTCATTTTATGTGCCAGTTGGGCCCATTCCTGGATTGCAAGGCCCTGATCACTCATGCCCTAGTAACTGTACTTGGACTATTCCAATGCACTCTACATGGGGCTATACTTGGAAGATACAAGTGGTCTAGAATGCAGCAGCACGGCTAGTTATGGGTGCACTTTGGTTTGCCAATGTGACACCACTACATACTCCACAAGCTGCACTGCCTCCATATCAGCTTCCGGGTGCAATTCAAGGTGCTGATTATCACTTATAAAGTTCTAGGTGGCACAGCACTGGGTTATTTGCAGGACCACGTCTCCCCAAGGACATTTTCCAGTCCCACTTGCTGTAATAGGCTTTGGCTTCCCTGCTTGTGTGGGTTTGTGAAACTAAGAGAAAGGGGAAGGGCATACCAGCTCAGAATGAAAATAGTCTTATCAAGTGGGTGGGTGCCAACGCTCATGGAAGCAGAGCTATTATCTAGCCTGTTCTGTCTGGTCCGTGAGAATGGGTTGCTAACTTTTTTTTTCCAGGACTGGTGCCTCTCTACCCAGCCTTCAGGGGATGTGGCAGGCAGTATCCTCAGAAGGTACGTCACAGTTCTGCCACTTTCAAAGGAACCTAGCAGTGCCAGTCCACCAAGGGACCAGAGACTGAGCCTGAGGTGGGGCACTGGAGTGTTAGGCAGTGGAATGTTGTGGGAAGCCATCTCTGAGCACGTTGGTCTCACCAGGATGGCCTCCTGCTGCCCCTTTCCCCATCCTGCCCTGTCTCTTTTCTACTCAGAAACAGTCCACTGCCAAATTTAGATAACACCAAAGTGAGGTTTAATTATGAATGAAAGCCCAACAGTATCTTATGGTCTCATACATTGATTACTGTGGGTGAGTATGAAAATGGAAATTGGTGACAGGTGGTGATAGTTGCATGGATACTGAATGGTAATGACAAAAGTACCAGGAAAGGTTGTGGAATGTCCTGAATGAATGCAAGCCAAGGAAAAAGTAAATGATATGAATGGAAGGGTGGAGCTGAAGTGAGAGGAAAAAATTATTGGGCCATTTGGGGACCCAAAAAGGAAAGAGAATCTTGAATTTTGGTGAATATTTGATTTGAAAAACCAAATTTGGTGATTTGATTTGACTTCTAGTATGCACTAGGCCTCAGTTACTTGGGCCAGGTCCATGTTTGCCACGGGGGTCATGAATTCCTGAGTTGCACCCCACTCAGTATCATCTGGGGGGAGGTTAAAATCTCCAAGGACAGTCAGTCTTGCAGATTCAACTGCCAACCCAGTGATGGAATCAAGCAGCTCAGGAAGGACATTGTTATGTAGCAGACAGCTGGTATATAGCAGCCATCTGCTCCCTAGATCCCAGCTTCAGCCACTGGGCCTTACATCCGGTTATCTGTGGTGTAGAGCTTCTGAAAGCTGTTAAGGATTCCCAGAGGACAACTGCCCCCCACCCCGGCCCTGGAGTCACAACTGATGCAAAATGCAAAACCCAGGAAGGCATAACTCTGAGGGTCTTGGTATATATGCCTAGCTGGCTCACTCATCCAAAATATGGGTGTAGTTTGCTTATGGAGTAGCTGTGTCATTTTTAAAATATGTATGTAAAGATTCCATCTGTGTCTGATGGTTGGAAGAAGGATGTTTTTTGCTGTGTTATGCAAAGGGAGAGAAAACCAGCAAAAACTATGCATGAAATAACTTATTAAGCATGCCTGGAAAGGTATTTGGCAGAACTACCATTGAAATGAGAGGTGATGGTGAACAAAATTTGGGAAGTGCGATGTGACTTTATGCTAAGGGGGGAGTGAGTGTTCAGAACAGATACTTGTGCTTCAGTAGGTTATTCAGAAATAATGTGAAAAAAACTCAATTGAATTGTAAGTTTGTTGATGCAGAAAATGTATATGATAGCATAGTTTGCACAAACATGGAGCAGAAAGTTGGAATTAAATGTGAGGGAATAAATGGAATACTTAGAAAGTGGTTTGGCTTTGAACAGAGTGTAAGAAAATAATTAGTGATGTCGCCTCATTTGTTTAATGTATTTATGGATAAATGTTTAAGGAATGATTGTGGTGGCATTAAAAGTGTGTTGGGATGTAAATGTTGCATACTTTTATTTGCAGGCAGTGCTGTGTTGTTAGCTGAGAAACTGAATGATATGCAGTGAATATAATAATACAAAGAGAATATAACTCTAAAATTAATGCACAAGAACAAGGTACAGTGGTACCTCGGGATACGAACTTAATCCGTTCCGTGACTCTGGTTGCAACTC